CGGGTGGCGGTGTGGTGCTTAGTTGCCGGTTGGGGTTAAACCACGACAGCAGCCAACCCCACCACAGAAGTCTCTCCCTTTCCAGATGCAATGCAAAAGCCATTTAATCCCATCTTACCTAGAGAAGTGAAGTGTCTCCCCTAGATTTTCCCAGCATGTTGCCTTAGCTGCAAAACCCCATTTAGACCCATCCTCTGGCCCCTTGTCCACAGGGAGACAGAGCTGCCACAGACACTACTACTGGCTGTGTACCAAACCCACTGCAGAGGGGGATGGATTTGCAGTACTCACTTGCAGCAGTTCCGGTAGACCACGCCAGCGAAGAACTCCATGCCAACAATGGCAAAGCAATAGTAGAAGATCAGCAGGGTTAAACCCAGGCTGGAGGCAAAAACAGAAAGAGTACTGTGCTACTCAAGAGTTGCTAAGGCAGGGAAACACAAAGTCACAGACTGGCTTCTCTGGAAGGAATTTCCAACACATGGGAAGCAGCACTGAAAACCCCAGACCACCCTCCCTGCCACTGTGGCTCTGCAGTTCTTTGCCTGCTCTCATTCAAGAAGTCCTTGGACAAGGAGCTTGCCACTTGCTGAAGAGCGAAACTAAAGAGCAGCCTGGATTCCCTCCCAGTCTGTCTTTTTCTGGTAAACAAATGTCTCTCCACAGTTTCTTTAATAAAGAACAACACACACTGGTTCTGCCCTCTCCATGTCCTTGGATGCAGGGACTGTGCCAAGAACAGGGTTCTCTAGCTAACACGCTCTCCTCAGACGTCCTTCAAGGGAATAAGGTCTGAGGATGCCCCACTCAAACACCAAGCTCCTTCTGCCCCACCATTTCACAATAATGCTCTTGAGTGGCCAGGGAAGCATCTGGGGCTGAGTATATTCACGCCAATGTTCCTCCCAAATGGACTTCTCCTCTCACCAAAAGCTGGGACGGGGAGAAAAATTAAACAAGCATCGACTCTTAGTTATCCTCCTAACACAAAAGCGGGAGGAGGCCCAGGGTGCTGGAGTGTTGCTTATCGCATACTGCTCCAAGAAATTGGAAGATTAACACTCCACTGCAGCACACTGAAGAATCAGTAACAATCAATTGACAGATCAGAGCATAAACACCTTTAGCAGGTTGGACAGGTCCCTATCCTGACCCCAGCCCTAGACACTAAACCTTCACTCCCCTCTCCCCGCCATCACCCAAAGAGAAGTTAGTACCTGGCCATCCGGGGGAACAACTCAAACATAGTGTCCAGGACATTTCTGTAGCGTTTCTTCAATTTAAATAGCCTGAAAGGAGAAGCCAGTAGTTACCTATGCACTGCAACTTTCCTGGTGCTGTTGGGAATAGTTAAACAGAGTATCCCAGTTCTCTGTACCTCCCAGGTCAAATGAACAGTAAGGTTTCCTGACACCAAACTCACAGGATCTGCTCTTGCTCAAGTGGTCTCTGCTCACCTAACAATGCCCCGCTGTCCCACCTGAATGTTTATGACACTTTCAACTAAGTGTTTACAGGATTGAGGAATCTCAAGGAAAAGTCTGTGTCTTTTTACACAGCATGATGCATAAATAGCTATTTAAAAAAAAATTAAAATCATAAGAACTTAAACTAGTCCTGTGTACAGGGTCAGGATTCATTACTCCTTTCCTCAGACATAAGCTTTTCTGTGTTTCCCCCATGACCCAATAAAAATTCATGAAAGAAAACTACCTCATGCCTGCTAATTTAAGATTTGGCAACTCCATCAGCCTTTACAGAAAAACACAGCTGCCAAACACAGGCTTTGGCAGGGGAGCAACAGAGAGAACTTCCCCCCCCCCCCCCCCGTCGTCAAAAAGTCTTCTTTAAATCCCTAAGGTGCATGTACCTCCGTAACAGTCTCGAAATGAGGAGGGTTAATAGACCCATCTTACTGAGCTGCAGAGAGGTTACAGGCCGCAGTCTTGCTTAAAGGAGATGCAGTTAGAGCAGGGTTGTACTCCACCA